ATGTTTTCAAAACCTAACCACTCTGTAATTCAGCAAACTCAATAATCCGGCACACTACTGGTCCCAATGGTGCCGGATTTGTGATGGCGAACCTGTAGTAGATAAGTTTGGGGTGCCAGGGATAAATAATAATGGGGTCTTTCAATAAATGTTGTATAGAAAGAGGTTTAGTAATAGGTAATATACATTTTAAGAAAGAGGACAAATATGTATACTAGATACCATATTGGTGTAATGAAATTTATCATTGAACAATGTACTGGTGGATAAAAGGATGATGGGTAAACTTCTGTATGTGCATGTTTATAGAGGGATAACATATATCAGATATATTACAGAATTTCTCATCACTGTAGTCCAACTATCAATATCAGTGCATGAACCTTAGCCATCCACCTCAGCTGATCCAAAACCTTGCACCCTGGCTCAATATGGCCACACCATACCTCTCTACTCCTTTCAAAATCGACATGCACCAGCACCCAGAAGGTAGCCATATATATTATATTAAATAACAAATATACAGTGGACCCCTGGTTTTCGGCCAGTGCGGAAATCATACAATTCGGATTTCAAGCACTTTTTTCGGCTAAATTCCCCCCCCCCGGGTTTCGTACATCGGCTTAGAAAGTGACAGTACCAGACACGTCCACGCAGGCCACTCAAACGTTCGTGACTCACTCTTGGGCGGCACATTACATGTCTTATTTTATGTTAACAGACATTTTCATTAATCCATCTATGATATTTTCTTCAAAATTACCTAACACATTACATAGCACATAAACATGCCTTCGTTACTTGTTCACTAAGAGTGTGTCTAGTCTTAACGCCATAGTAATACTAATACTAGTACATAATAATCACTCTTGGGCACATTACGTGTCTCATTTTAGGTTAATATAGATATTTTCATTAATCTATGATATTTTCTTCAAAATTATCTAAGAAACATGCTGCATGGCATATAAACATGCAATGTTTATATGCTATCCAGGAGTAGTAATCGGTGGAAGGAAAACATTATGTTTTCTCTGGTCCAGCTTCAGAGAAAATGTGTATGAATCTGCGTTGGCCCAGTAACAGCCCTTAATATGTACCTAAGGCTTTTGTTTACAATTCTCAACATTTGTTTACAATTCTCAGCAATTCTTATTACTTCTCCCTTTGCTTATGATGGCATCTAAAGGTAGTTGTTAGAAACAATTAAACTCAGTGAACATGGTATGTCGAAAATAATAATATGGCTGTAGGCTGCAGTGTATGTACCCGGTAGGTATACGCCTGGGATGTAGATCTTCTGGGACTACAAATAAATACTACTCACAAACAAGAGTCTTCAATAAAGGTATGTAATGTTCATTTATCATTAAAATTAGTCATTTATATTTCTTATTGTTTTCTGTATGTAAAACTATAGCTATTTTCTTTAAAATGTATTTTTTGTTAATATTTTTGGGTGTCTGAAATGGATTTGAATTACATTGTTTCATACAGGAAATATTATTTCAGTTTTCGGCCAACCTTCTGGAGCGGATTAATTATGAAAACCAGGGGTCTACTGTACTAGTAACTCTCAAGGAATAAATATCATATTCCTGGGATGTGAGGTGAACCTCGGTCTATTTTCCCACTTTTGGATGCCTTGTAAATTTTATGTACGTACAGTAAAGCCTTTCTACTTGCTACATCTTTATTTGGTGATTTATGTCATTCATAGAAAAGACTGTCTGTAAAACATTCAACCTTCCTCTGGACTTAAGTATCAGTGTCAGGACTGTAGTCTGTTGTAGAAATCATGGCAACTTTCCAGCCTTCCCTGACTTCAGTATAGTAACTACATTAATAGCCTAGTATACAAATTTAACTAGGTTATTGAAGGTGGCAACACAGTATTGGCAGTCTTTTTTTTTTTAACATGATAGTACAAACTGGTAAGCTACATTCTAACTAACAGCTTCAGCCATACTATACACATGAAATGTGAAGCCAGAAGCCATAATTATTTTCAGCAAAATCAAATGACAGCTTGTCTTAGTATTTAACCCTTTCAAGGTTTCGGCCGTACTAGTAAGACTTACGCGCCAGTGTCCATGACGTACTAGTACGCATAAATTCTAGCACCTTCAAATCTAGTGAGAGAAAGCTGGTAAGCCTACATATGAAAGAATGGGTCTATGTGGTCAGTGTGCGCAGTATAAAAAAAATCCTGCAGCACAGTGCGTAATGAGAAAAAAAAAACTTCAACCGTGTTTTTGGATTAAAACAGCGACTTTGCACTATATTTTCATATGGTATTTATTGTTGTATTCTAGTTTTCCTGCTCTCATTGTACAGAATGAGAGACATATTACAGAAATTGAGATGATTTTGACTGGTTTCACAATGAAAAGTACCTTGAAATTGAGAAAGTAGCAGAAATGTTCAATTTTTACCAAAGTTCAAAAGTAAACAAATCATGCTAAGCGTCCAATACACGTCAACTGGCGAGTCTAATATTCTTTCACAAGTGCGGCGCTCAATATTATTTATATCATTCCTACACTAATGCAGTGGAAAGCAAACGAAATGTAAGAGGGGCCTGGGGATAAGACTAATGAACAGAGGAAATGTTATTTTAGTGCCAGGAATGTCTTTCTTGTTTATTCTGGACCCAATTTGGAAATTGGCATCATATGAAATTTGTGTGAAATTGGCAAAATTGCTAAATTATGACCACTGTACTGGATAGTTGAAATCGGTAAATTGGTGGTTTCTTGTACTCATTCGATAGAAAAAATGGAGTTCTAGCAAAATAGTTATGATTTTTGTCGACTAGTACATTGGAATTGGCCAAAAATAGGGCTCAAAGTGGGCAAAATTGCCGATGTGTAAACATCATCGAGATCGCTATCTTCGTGAGAGCATAATTCCGTAAGTTTTCCATCAAATTTCATACTTTTGGTGTCATTATGATTGGGAAAAGATTCTCTATTTTCATAAGAAAATTTTTTTTTTTTTTTTAAATTGGGGGACCCTGAGAACAAGTCTCTGAGAGGGCCTGTGGACCCTGAAAGGGTTAAAGAAAATATGTGGGGTAACTTACAACAAAAGGTTAATCGCTAAACTACTCAAATGTTAAGCACCTCTGCTTATCTATAAACAATCTCACAAAATTTATTTTTGCTTCGTTTCTTTCTCCTCCTGTCACATCATTTTTCACTAACCACGGAAAAAAAAAAGGATAACGAGAGATAATGGAAATCAGATATAAAGAGCAAGGGAGGAAATCGCAGTGAACATATAGGAGGAATAATAGTATGCCTTTCATTCCTCCTATATTTTGGAGTTTCCAAATTAGTCTCGTACAGAGAAACTTAATCTGTCTTTAATCCTTCCATTGGCTGTGCCGTAGTACTATGGGTTGAGGTCACTTTTGTATTACACCATGAGTTCAGCTCACTCATAAGCTGTGAGCAATAAATTTGGGCTTAGATACAAGAGAATGGGTCTATGCATTAAGTATGCAGCACATAAAAAAAAATCCTATATGTAGCACGCAGTGCTTGAGAAAAAACTGCGAGTGTTTTTGGTTTAAAACAGTGACTTTGCAGTGTATTTTTGTATAGTTTTTATGGTTGTATTCTCAGTTTCTTGGTCTCATTTGATAGACTGAAAGATATATTATAGAAATAGAGATGATTCTGATCGGTGTCAGGAACGAAAATATCTTGCAATTGAGCTCAAAAGTAGCAGAAATGTTCGATTTTTGTCAATATTCAAGAGTAAACAAATTACATCACTTGTCCAATACACATCCAACAAGTGGCTTTAATATGCTTTCACAAATCTACTGATAATAATTATTTATACATTTATTACAATACTGCATATGTCTTCAATTTTTTTGAGAATAACAAAATCAAAATGGAATTCATATGTAAAGCCTGGGAGCATAAATGAAAGAAATTTTTTGCCAGGAAACTCTACTATTATTCTGGACCTATTTTGAAACTGGAGTATTTTAAATTTGGAAATTGACCATTACAATTCTGATCCTTTTTTGGAATTGAATATTACTGGCCAGTTTCTTGTACTCAATTGATAAACATACAAAATGGAAGCATAAAATCTTAGGAAGGAAGCGGGGTAGGGGTCGTTTCGCAAGGTTGAAAGGGTTAAAGGAAGTTTTGGGCAAGGGGCTTGGACTTCCACAAGTGCGTGAGCGTGTTAGTAAGGAGTGAATGAGACAAGTATTTTGGGACCTGCTATCTGTTGAGTGTGCAGCAGGGACTTTAGTAAGGTTCAGGAAACCGGTTTTCATATTCGACTAGTCGAAAAAATGGGAATACAATGCCTGCACTTTAAAGGAGTGTTTGGGATATTTTGGGGATATTTTATTTAAATTTATGCTCTCATGTTTATTCGAGCACCTCAAAAACTTTTGCATGTGGTGAAAGTCTTTTTATTTGATGAATTTTTTTTTTGGGTTCTTTTTTTTTGGTCACCACTTGTGGGAGCTGCCCCTTTTTAAAAAAAAAAAAAAACTAGCAAATTAAATTTGTTGTACTGGAAAAATGTAATTGGCCTAAACAACTCAAAGTGGGCAAAATTGTCATGTGCTAATTATCCCTTGACGCAAACTCAGCAAGTGTAATTTCTCAACATTCCCTAAAATTCTTTTTTTATTACTTCAGAAATATTTTACCTTTTCAAAAAAATTTTTTTTTTAATTTTTGGCATTGGCCGCTATGGACAAGTTTCGGTTCAGGAGTCTGGACAATGAAAGGGTTAATGGAGATGAGAAACCACAAGCACACCTATGTTTCTGTAGTTACAAATAATTAAAATTTATGTGACCCACCAAACCACAACTTGCCCACCCACCCTTCAGAATATAGCACAGTACAGTGGACCCTTGTAACTGCTAAATACTGCTTGTAACTGCTAAATAAGCCACTATGGGCCCCAAGAAGCTTCTAGTGCCAACCCTGTGGTAAAAAGGGTGAGGTGTACTATTGAAATGAAGAGAGAGATAATCGCAAAGTATGAAAGTGGAGTGCGTGCTTCCGAGCTAACCAGGTTGCATAACAAACCCCAATCAACCATTGCTACAATCTTGGCCAACAGCAAGGCAATCAAGGAAGCTGTTGTTGCAAAAGGTGCAAGTATGCTTAGAAAACAGAAATCGCAAATACACGAAGATGTGGAGATACTGCTATTGGCGTGGATCAATCATATGTGAAAAGGCAAGGCAGTTGCATGCAATCTCATTAAGAAAATGCCTGGAACTAGTACTGATGTTAGTGATTTTAAGGCCAGCAAAGGTTGGTTTGAGAGATTTAAGAATGATAGTGGCATACACAGTGTGATAAGGCATGGTGAGGCTGCCAGTTGTAACCAAAAAAGCAGCTGAAAAATACGTGCAGGAATTCAAGGAGTACATAGACACTGAAAAATTGAAACCCTAGTAAGTGTTTAATTGTGACAAAACAGGCCTGTTTGGGAAGAAAATGCCAAACATGACCTACATTACACAAGAGGAAAAAGCACTGCCAGGACACAAGCCTATGAAAGACAGGCTAACTCTAATGTTTGGTAGTAATGCTAGTGGGGACTGCAAAGTGAAGCCTTTACTCGTGTATCACTCTGAAACTCCCAGAGTGTTCAAGAAAAACAGTGTCCTCAAGGCTAATTTGTGTGTGATGTGGAAGGCAAACAGTAAGGCATGGGTCACTAGGGACATTTTCCATGATTGGTTCTATCATGTGTTTGGCCCCACTGTGAAAAAAATACCTCCTGGAAAATAAATTGGACCTCAAGTGCCTCCTGGTATTAGACAATGCCCCTGCTCATCCTCCAGCCCATGGACCAGCAGGTCATTTCAAATTTCAAGCAACTGTACACCAAAGCACATTTTCAAAAGTGCTTTGAAGTGACCTCAGACACTGAATTGATCCTAAGAGAGTTTTGGAAAGATCACTTTAGTATCCTCAGTTGCATAAACCTTAGAGGTAAGACTTGGGAGAGAGTGACTTGCAGGACTTTGAACTCTGCTTGGAGGAAATTGTGGCCACAATGTGTACAAGAGAGGGATTTTAAAGGGTTTGGGGCTAACCCTGAGAAGCCTATACCAGTTGTGGAATCTATTGTGTCATTGGGGAAGTCCATGGGGTCGGAGGTTAGTGGGGAGGATGTGGAAGAGTTGGTGGAGGATGATTATGAAGAGCTAACCACTGATGAGCTGCAAGAGCATCTGCAACAGCAACAGACCACAGCTGAGGATACTGCTTCAGAGGAGGGGAGAGAGAGATGGAGGAAGTTGCTTTCTTCAACGATTAAGGACATTTGTACATTGTGGACAAAGGTGCAAGCCTTTATGCATGAACATCACCCTGACACAGCTATTGCAAGCCGTGCTGGTGACTTTTACAATGATAATGTGGCCCATTTTAGGAAAATCTTAAAGGAACACCAGAAACAGAGCTCTATGGACAGATTTTTGGTGCGACAGAGGCCCAGTGACTGTCAAGTTGTTCCCAGTGGCATTAAAAAACGAAGAAGGGAAGTAACCCCAGAAAAGGACTTGCTACCTAAAGTCCTTATGGAATGGGATTCCCCTTCCAAACAATAATACACCTCCAACATCTCCCCTCCTCCCATCTCATCATTAATAAATAAATCTTCAATAAAGCTAAGTGTCATTTATTCTTCATGTAGTATTTATTCTTCATGTATCATTTTTTGTGTAGGAAATTGTATATTTCATGTGAAAAAAATTTTTTTTTAATACTTTTGAATGTCTGGAACGGATTAATTGGATTTCCATTATATTTCTTAAGGGGAAAATTAATTCGGCTAACGATAAAATCGGACAAGCTCTCTAGAACGGATTAAAATCATTACCCGAGGGTTCACTGTATTTCGTATCTCCAGAATGCCATTTTAACCAGTTTCCCTGAATGCCCTCATAAATGGTACCTTGCTCACACTCCAACAACATGTCAAATCCCAAAAACCATTCATCTTCACTCACTCCAATCTAACATGCTTAACCATCTACTACTTAAAACTTTAATATTATTCTCTCAATCTGTCCTGTGATGTGCCACCTCAAATTTGTTCCCTCTTAGTAAACCTGCCTTGAACCATCAAACTTTATAAATGATAAACATGTCAAGAACCCAACAGTTGCTCTATGAATTATAAATACAGGATAATTATTTTATTTTATTAACACATCATCCATTTCCCACCAAGGCAGGGTGGCCCAAAAAAGAAAAACTTTCATCATTCACTCCATCACTGTCGTGCCAGAGGTGTGCTTACACTACAGTTACAAAACTGCAACATTAACACCACTCCTTCAGGGTGCAGGCACTGTACTTCCCATCTCCAGGACTCAAGTCCAGCCTGCCAGTTTCCCCGAATCCTTTCATAAATGTTACCTTGCTCACACTCTTAAAGAATATTGGTAGATTCTAAACAAATTATTAGCAAACAAAATCCTAAATTTTACTTACCCATTCAATGCGCCTCATTTTACTGGCAGGAGGTCCAACATCCATGTCTGGCTGTCTCGCATCACCTGATTCCTGACGTTAAATGAAGGTGCAAAGTGAGAAAAAATGTTCTCCCTGTATACTGTATATTCTGAGGCTATGCATAAAATTATCACTTTCTCACTCGCAAAGAAAAATGTGTAAATGAAAATTTCTGGTGGTTTGCTAAAATATCAGCCTGGTTTGGGGTACTGCTGCCTCTTTCCCCATTAGCTGGTCTCTGAAGTCAAAAAGATCAAAATAAAACTTAGCTATGGAAGAAATAGCTACACAGATTTCAGCAATGAAGAAATAATGGATAGTGACCTGGGAAGAATAAACAAAATAAAATATTAACATAAATACTAAAATTATGAGCATAGAAATGTACAAAGGAGAATTTATAAAACTGGCTGCCCTAATCTGGGAATAGGTTGCTATAGTTAACCAGCATGTTATTTTTTTTTTTTTTTCATTTTATACATTAATGGTTTCTCTCCTCACTTAATGACGTACTCGTTTAACGACCGCTCGGACTTACAACCAGCTCTCTGACCAGTATGCATATCTTAGTAATGTATATTAGAGCTGATTTTGTAGAGAGCTGGTTAGATAAGTACACTTTCCAGCATGAAAATAAACATAAGAAAAACATTTCTTATCTTTTAACAGCACAATTTCCAGCAGCCGCTCCCTGGAAATCCCTTTGGGGTGCCATCTCAGTTTCCACAGCGGCTGTTGATTAACAAGTGAGTTATTCATGCGTAATGGTACTCACTTGGTTTTGGGCAAATCACACGTGCTTCACGAGATTTATTGGTAACTCCAGCCAAATCTTACCTCTACCTATCAGCTGCAGCTAACGTAAGATGATGTGGGTGTGGCTGAACTTGCCTGGGTATTTTAACTGACCCAATTTTCCCTAGTTTGTTGAAGGGAAAGTATATTCCAGTATCGATGTCTTGACTAGGCTGCTACAGATGCGTAATTATGTCCTCACTCGTTGATAGGGAGTCACTTCGTTGTACAATAGGGTGATAGCTTGTCCCTTTGTTCATAACACCTGAATGCATACCATGACACAAACTTTTACACTTTATCGAGATTATACCTCAGATTATACTTTCGCAGTATTTCAGATTTTACCATACAATATCATTATTTTCTCTGTTCTCAGGAGATTTGTGACATCTTCATGCTCTGATGTCTGAATTCAACCGACCTTGTCACCTTGCCCAACGCTCACCAGTTCATCATCCAGCATAAAAGAACTGCCGAGTTCAGCTTTATAGCTCTTCCTTACTACACATTGCAACAGTATTTAATACAAGAGGTTTCTTGTTATTTAGCTGTAGACAAGAAGTCATAATAATCCCAATGTGTAGATCAAGTGGAGCGCAGGTTTTCTCTTAATTTTCCTATGGAGAAACGAGTAATTACTCTCGTTTAATCCTCGTTGTGTAGTTGATCAGAAATTCTAGCAAGGAGAAAGCTGTGCATGGAGATGCCTGGTACTCATGTTTGCAAGGAAGAGTCCACCAGCCCCTTCTGGAAGGGCTAAGTTCCTCAGAGGGCTGAGGGGGGCCTAAGATATACTCCCTTTACTGGAGAATTTTTCCCCACACATTTCTTCTATTCTGTTTATTACAATATACAGTACACTACTGTATAAACATTTAAAAATATACTAAAAATGTTATAAATGGTGCACAGGTGACACTAAAACAATATCTAAAAACGGTTGACACAAACCCACTACCATTATAGTATGCTCCTAGCTTAATGACCAATTCGTTTACCGACCTACTCTTATGAATGGAACTCCGTCGTTAAGTGAGGAGAGACTGTATTATTGCAAACTGATATATAAAAAGAAAATATGGAGGCAAGTATAAAAAAAGAAGTGAAGTGAGATCAACTTAGAGAAGATGCTGCTGATATCTGAGTTAGCACTTCACAGTAATGGCTGGTTTCAATCAATGTAAAATGTATGAAAGCTGAGGGTGGGTATACTTCAAATACAGGGTCAGATGGTTGAAATATTCAGGTCAGTTAGAAGATGAGAGTTTAAGACTGGATAAATGTGCATCATTCTCCTCTCTAGATAATGCCTGCAGAAGACTGGCTATTGGGTCTATCTTGCTCTCTTGAGAAAATACTAAGATATGTAAGTAAAGTGGTGTGCTCTCCTATAATGTCTAAGGTTTAGCTATATGATCTGGTTTATCTTGGGAGAATAAAGCAGTTATTTATGTCATATTATGAATCAATAAAGTCAAAGTATTAAAAATAATATATATTTAACCCTTAAACGGTCCAAACGTATATATACGTTCACTTGCGCAGCGCCCCGAATATTTTGAATTTTTTTTTTTATAGAAAAGAGCACATTTTTTTTTTAAGTGTTTTAGAATAAAAAAAATTAGGGTCAGTACTTACAGAGATATGAGGCTGAGAAGTTGGCACTGGATGCTCACGCGACGGCAACATGGAGTCCTGCAGCTTGCAGAAGTGTTGCCGATATACCTTTTTTTCTAATTTTCATATTTTATATAACTTTTATGTTCCGATAATTACAATTTATAGTAGTTCTTGACATTTCATAACCAATCTTTGTTCTGACACTAGTATTAGGTACTGAAATTGTCACAAATACATTGACAGGTGGACATTTACACCTGCCTTGGTCATTTACTATTGTCTTGGAACACAGTGGACCCCCGCCTTATGATGGCATCGCGTTACGTTAAATCCAACATACCATACATTTTAACGCAAAAATTTTGCCTCACCTCACGCTAAAAAACTCGCCTTACGTGATTCGTCCGGAACGCATCCCACATGAGGCCTCAGTGCCAGTGTTTACAAGCCAGCCAGTGCGGTCGCATCTACTCATACATTTGGTACATTTCACATTATCCCAGTGCTTTTAGTGCTTGTAACTGCAAAATAAGTCACCATGGACCCCAAGAAAGCTTCTAGTGCCATCCCTGTGGTAAAAAGGGCGAGAATTAGTATGGAATTGAAAAAAGAGATTAAGGAAATGTGTGCAAAGTGGGTTGAACTGCAAACCTTTATGGATGAAAATCACCCTGACACAGCTACTGCAAGCTGTGTTGGCAACCTGTACAGTGACAATGTTATGGCCCATTTTAGGAAAGTCTTAAAGGAACTGGAGGTACAGAGCTCTATGGACAATTTGTTGTGCGACGGAGGTCCAGTGACTCTCAAGCTGGTCCTAGCATTAAAAGAAGAAGGGAAGTAACCCTGGAAAAGGACTTGCCACCTCAAGTCCTAATGGAAGGGGATTCCCCTTCTAAACATTAACACCATCCACACTCTCCCCTCCTCCCATCCCATCAATCATCACCAGATCTTCAATAAAGGTAAGTGCCATGTAACTGTGCATGTCTTCTTCAGTTTGTGTGTATTAAAATTAATATTTCATGTGGTAAAAAATTTTTTTTTCATACTTTTGGGTGTCTTGCATGAATTTGATTTCCATTATTTCTTATGGGGAAAATTGATTCGTTTTTCGATATTTTCAGTATTCGATGAGCTCTCAGGAACAGATTAATATCGTAAGGCGGGGGTCCATATATACAAAATATTTGTAGGTCCCAGCAATGTTTTGGAGGAGATGATGGTGGTGGTGGTGGCGGTGTGGGGGGGGGTGGCGGCGGCGGCAGTGGTGGCAGAGGAGGAGGAGGAGGAGGGAGGAGGTAACTTATTGTTACTTATTAATAATAATAGACAGAGATAGAGACAGAGACAGAGATAGACAGACCCTAAACTTAGGATTAACATCACTTTCCTCTTAAAAGAGGAGTGTTAATATGACATTACATCAGTGAATCCTTGGTGTTTGCTGCACTGGTTGCTCTAGCTGGCGCTCAATTTAACTGGTGCTCCCATAAGGTACTAAGTGGTACCAGATTTTTTTAATACTGCGCACACCGAGTGTTAACCCTTTCAGGGTCGAGAGGCCCTCTCCAAAACTTGTTCTCAGGGTCGAAAATTTTTCAGAAAAAAAAAAAGATTTTTTCTTGTGAAATGATAGAGAATCTTTTCCCGATCATAAGGACACCAAAAGTATGAAATTTGATGGAAAACTTACGGAAATATCGCAAAGTTAGCGGTCTCGCCGATGTTTACACATTGGAAATTCTGCCCATTTTCAGCCCTATTTTCGGCCAATTCCAGTGTATTAGTCGACAAAAATCATATTTATTTCGCTAGAACTCTATTTTTTCTATCGAATGGGTACAAGAAACCACCCATTTACCAATTTCAACTATCCAATAAAGTGATTAGAAATTGGCAATTCTGCCAATTTCACACAAATTTCAGAAGATGCCAATTTCCAAATAGGGTCCAGAATAAACAAGAAAGACATTCCTGGCACTAAAATAACAAGCTCTCTGTTCGTTAGTCATGTCCCCAGGCCCCTCTTATATTTCTTTTGCTTTCCACTTTGAATTTTTATTCTTACAAAAAATAGAAGATTTACTGTTATGCAGATTACTGCATTAGTGAAGAAATGGTATAAATAATATCAGCACACTTGTGAAAGAATATTAGGCTCACCAGTTGATGTGTTTTGGACGCCTGGCATGATTTGTTTACTTTTGAACTTTGGTAAAAATCGAACATTTCTGCTACTTTCTCAATTTCAAGGTACTTTTCATTGTGAAACCAGTCAAAATCATCTCGATTTCTGTAATATGTCTTCCATTCTACATAATGAGACCAGGAAAACTAAATACAACCATAAATACCATATGAAAATACAGTGCAAATTCGCTGTTTTAATCCAAAAAACACAGTCAAGGTTTTTTTTTCTCATTACGCACTGTGTGCTGCAGGATTTTTTTTATACTGCGCACACTGACCACAGACCCATTCTTTCATATGTAGGCCTACAAGCTTTCTCTCGCTAGATTTGAAGGCGCTAGAATTTAGGCGTACTAGTACATCAATAACCCTGGTGCATAAGCCGTACTAGTATGTTGAAAACCCTGAATGGGTTAAGACCCATTCTATGCTGACCAGGCATCTCAGGCCAATCGTGCCAAATTTGGAGGCAGGAAAATTAAAACGTATATATACATTTGGGGTGCTACACGTAAGAACATATATATACGTTTGGACCGTTTACGGATTAAGTAAACTTCTTGTTTATAATGAATATTACTGTGGTTAAGTTGTTTTATTGGGCGAGCATTTACGAGGTAAACTGCAATTAGTAATTGTTACTATCATTTACTAAGTACAGTACAGCATATTTTAACTTCATAGCATATATTTCATGTGTGGTTAACAATGGCCACTACATCACTTAAGAAAGTGAAAAGCAACTGTGGAAAAAACTCACTCTGTTCAGGACAGCATTTAGGATATTCAAGGCAAGTGCTGACTGAGTACTCCCCATCTGAGTAAGCTGACTGACCGCTCCAATAATGTCTGTGGCAGGGGAGACTGCCACACTTGTACCCGACACTTCAGGAGTAGGTAAGAAGCCACCATGATTTGCCACAGGAATAGCGGCAGTTGGAGCCATGCCACTCTCCCAAGGGCTAACCACTGGCCTGATGAAAAATATATCCATATATGCAATTTATGCTTTAAATGCCAAAATACATTAACAGTAAGGAATAAAATGATGCAGCTAGGGAAGGATGTGGTATGGTGATACTGACAAATTGTGAGCAAAAAACTTGTATGCACTGATCAAGATATTTACTAAGGAAACATTTCACCAGAAGCGACTTCTTCAGTCCTAATACAGAGACAGCTAAGAAAAAAGCACAGTATTTATAGTGGAGGGAGTCACACTGCAAACTATGAGTGTGGGAGTACTAGAGGTGGTAGTAGCAATGCAGCTGTGGTGAGATGGGTAGGGTTTGAGAAGGACCTGTCAGCAATGAAGAAACATTTTAAAGTTATGTTAGGTAGCTTTATATGGGTGCAAAAATGTAAAAGTATAGGTCAGTAGACCTTTTGCAAGTTCCACTGCACAGTGATGTCATCCAATGGTGGTGTTACAGCTGAATAACAATCATTTGGCCAAGGTTCTGGAAATTCTATGGTTGCCTGATTTCCGTGGAATGGAGTTGGTTGTTGCTCTCATTGTTGCTTCTAGACACCTGCATCTGCACAAATCATAATGTGAATATCATGCAGAGGGTGCAGGGCGAGCAAATTAAACAATGGCACGAAGTCACCAAGGGTATAATTCAGAGGGCTGAGGGTTGCTGAAGTAGTATGGGTATTTAGAGGATGCAGAGGGATAAAATAAAGGTGTATAGATCTGGGGTGGAAAGAAGGAGAGGTAGAGATTATCCCAAGAATGGTTAGAACGATGGAGTAAAGGTGGCTTTGAGTATTAGGGCCTTGACAATTCAGCAGGCTTGTTTGAACTTGTTCAGTAGGAGTGAATGGAGACAAGTGGCTGTTAACCCCTTGACTGTCGCAACCCCAAATCCTGAGGTGTCTCCTGATGTTGAAAAAAAAAAAAAAAAAAAAAAGAATCTTTTCCCAAAATTTGATGGAAAACTGACGGAATTACACTCTCACGAAGTTAGCAACCTCAGCGATATTTACGAATCGGCGATTTCGCCCACTTTGAGCCCTAATTTCGGCTGATTCCATTGTTCCAGTCGACCAAACTCTTATCTATTTCTTTAGAACTCCACTTTTTCTATCGACTGAGCACAAGAAACTGCCCCTTTACCGATTTCAACTACCTAATAACGTGGTCAGAAATTTGCAATTTGACCAATTTCACGAAAATTAAAAAACATGTCAATTTCAAAATAGGGTCCAGAATGAACAATGCAGACATTCCTGGCTCTAAAATAACATTTTCTTTGTTCATCAGTCACGTCTCCAGGACCCTCTGATATTACTTTTGCTTTCTATTTTGAATTTTTATTCAAACAAAAAATAGAAGATTTACTGTTATGCAGACTACTGCAATATTGTAATAATTGTATAAATAATGTCAACCCATTCATGACTGCATATTAGAATGGCTACTTGGACATTTATTGGACAATGACATCATCCGTTTACTTTTGAACAACGGCAAAAATCAAACATTTCCCCTACTTTGAGCTCCATTTCCAGGTTCTTTTTATAGTAAAACCAATCAAAATCACCTCTATTTCTATAATATGTTTTCCATTCTATCAAATGAGACCAAGAAAACGAGAATACAACCATAAATACTATACAAAAATAGACCACAAAATCGGTATTTTAATTAAAATAAATGGTCGGAGTTTTTTTTTCTCATTATGCACTGCGTGCTGCAGGTTTTTTTTATATGGAGCACACTGACCACACAGACCCATTCTCTCACATGTGGGCCTACCAGCTTTCTTCTGCTTGATTTGAAGCCGCTAGAATTTACGAGTATATATACTTCAAAAATGGTGGCTCGTAAGACGTATATATACGATCAAAACAGTCAAAGGGTTAATGGATGTGCTGTTGGTATGAGCAGAGGAACACTTGTGAAGGGCTCCATGGAAAATGATTAGCTGGGCTTGAGTCCTGTAGGTGGGAAGGGAGGTGACTGCACTCCGAAGGAGGGGTGGGGATGTTGCAGTTGGAGGGTAATCTGAATTGTTATGTCAATACACTTATGGTAATATAGTGATTGAATAAATGATGGGGAGTGTGCTTTCCTCTATGGGGTCATCCTGTCTTAGTGGGAGACAGCCGCTGAGGTAAAAAAAAATCTATATACCAAATGCACATTACAGAAATAATTACCTGTTATGACCAGCATGGCCATAGGCTGAAGATCCTCTATAATTTGAAGAATTGCTGTAAGATGGTTTACTTCCATAACTAGAAGAATTGCCATGAGATGTTTTATTTCTATAGCCAGAACCATAAGATGTGTTACCACCATAGCTGGCACCACCATCATAAGCAGAAGCTCTGCCAAAACCTGAAGTGTTACTAAAGTTGGGTGTAGCCCCATAACTGGAACTACTGTTATAACCTGAAGTATTGGCACCTGTGCCATAATTGCCCAAGATGCTACTGGCATTGCTTCTACCACCACTGCCACTTCCTGCTGCTGATCCAGAAGCTCCATCTCTGTATCTTTGCCTGTTGTAACTGCTACCATGATCATAATCAATCGTTACCCTGGTTCTCTGTGTGCCTTCTGGTCTGTAAGAAATAATTCATATTTGTATATTAGAATATACAGAACTTGAACATGGTGAAATATCATAAGATTATAATGATTTAAGTCTCCTATTCTCGTCATCATAGACAGATTAAATTGTTTCCAATTACATGTAAACATTAAAGTGCAAGTGAAGACAGACACCATTATTTTAACATATACCTAGAGGGGGTTTTGGGGGTCAATGCCCCCACGGTCCAGTCTGAGACCAGGCCTTGTGGTGGATCAGGGTCTTATCAACCAGGCTATTACTGCTGGTCGTGTGTAAACCGACATACGAACCACAGCCTGGCTGATCAGGTACAGTAGGATCCCACTTATACAGCAGGTCAGGTTCCAGGTTACCGCCTGAAAGCGACATTACCAGAAAGTGCAACGCCATTTTTTCCCTTTATAAATGCATATAAATGCCAGATAAGTTTACACTAACATTAAGTTAGCAATAGAACTAGTCATTAACAACAATTGAAAGGAAAATACACACACACAGTACACCCATTACCTTATAATATTTGTAGTCTTAATGAAGGGCGAGTGGTGAGTCGTATTTAATTGTAGGAAGTCAGGTGAGGAAGGTATGGTAGCCAGCCAGGTCAGCCCACCCCACCCACACCTAATATACAACATTTAAAAATGCCCCAGAGCAATAAAATGCATATACAGTACATTCATAAATTACCTTAAAATATTTGTAGTTTTAACCCTTTCAGGGTTTCCGACGTACTAGTACGGCTTACGCGCCAGGGTTGACGTACTAGTACGCATAAATTCTAGTGCCTGCAAATCAAGCGGGAAAAGGCTTGTAGGCCTAGATGTGAGAGAATGGGTCTGTGTGGTCAGTGTGCACAGTAGCAAAAAAATTCGGGGACCCAGTGGTGCATTGTGGGAACGCCATTTTAGTACACCTTGTTCACCATGCCTTGCGGTAAGAAACTCCTCGCTCCTCGGCGAATTGGGACACTTTTCTTCCCCAGTGACAGTTCTAATACAAATGGAAGTGCCAGTGAAGATGAGTTTCAAGGTTCTGATGAGGTTGTGACCGAAACTAATGACTGGTAATAGTGAGGAAAATCCAGATGACCCTCAACCTTCCACCTCTGGTGCTGGGCCGTCTTGTTCACGTTCAGCAGTACCAGAACGAAAGAGGAAACTCGTATTTTTCCCATATCCAGGACTCAGATGTGAGCAATGGTGATGATAGTGATAATGAATATGAACTACAAGCCCTTGAAAACAGTTCCAGTAGCGATAGTGAAGTGGAATATTCTCCAGTGAAGCGTCAGTATATACGATGGTATATGTGTTCTGGTAGTGTGCCATATGCTATTCCAATGGGAAGGAGTACATCTCGGAGTACATCCTGTGGCTGTACAACAGGAACAGATAGTGAAAATGAATATACCTTTACCTTTGATATACCTTTGAAGAATTTCGAGAGTATATCTACTCTCTGAGCCCGGCCATGGGCCAGGCATGGGCATGCATCTGGTGGTGGTAGTGGTGGTGCCAGCCATGAGGCACCAGCAGTGGGCCATGCTGCCACCCACGCTGCTGCCTCAGCTGAACTATAAAAAAGGCTACCACCCCCACCCACCCACCACACCAGCCTCCACAACCACAACCTCCACAACCACAACCTCCACAACCACAACCACAACTTCCACAACCACCTGTCAGTATCCAGTACCCGCCAGCAGACCACACCTGGGATTAGTAGGAAGGTGACAATTTTGTTCCCAATCCCCATCACTTTGATGAAAGTCAAAGTGGAATATGGCCATCTTGTACACTTGGGAACAATGCTACTGAACTAGAATGTTTCGAGTTATTCTTTGACAAACCCCTGATGGAAATTATTGTCAGGGAAAGCAACACATATTACGAGTACACCATGGCAAACACAATACTTTCACCAAAATCATGCCTACACCAGTGGAAGGAGACAACTGTGGCTGAGATGTATCTTTTCTTTGCCACAATAATGCTTATGCCATATGTGTATAAGCACAGTGTCAAATCATACTGGTCAACAGACATCCTGATTGCAACCCCAGGTTTCAGTGATATAATGCGAGTGAATCAATTTGTGCTGCTGTTACGTATGCTACACTTCTCAGACAAAACCAGGCCTCACAGAAACGACAGGTTATATAAGATTAGGAATGTGTTTGTGTATCTGAAACAGAAATTCAGTATGTATTTTTATCCCTTCAGGAAGCTTGTTATTGATGAGTCTTTGATTCTGTTCAAAGAAAGACTGTCGTTCATGCAGTATATACCAAGCAAGAGGAAACACTTTGGTATAAAGTTGTTTGTACTTTGTGACTGCTACAGTGGTCTTGTATTGGATATTATTGTGTACAGTGGAAGTAATACATTGCAAAATACCAGGAAGTTATTGGGCATCTCTGATGATGTGGTTAGAACAATGACAGAACCATATCTTGGTAAAGGGCATATATTATATATGTACTGATAACTGGTACACAAGCCCCTCACTCAGTGATTTTTTGCAAATGAATATGACAGATGTGTGTGGCACAGTGCATGGAAATCATAAGCATATGCCCAGGTTTAACACTGGCACTTGTAGAGGTGAGGTGCAGGCGTTTGCTGCCAATGACATCATGGCATTTCAGTGGCATGACAAACAAGATGTCACACTGTTGTCATCAGTTCACCATAATGAAATGACAAACACTGGCAGGCAGAATAGAGAGACCAATGAACCCATTCTAAAACCTGCAGCTGTGATGGACTACACCCTCAATATGCGTTCACTGGACAAATGTGACATGTAGATTGGGTTTGTTGATTGTGTTTGCAAGAGTTATAAATGGCACATAAAACTCTTTTTTCCATATTCTGGACATTTCCAGGCTCAATGCTTATAATATGTACAAGATGAGGACCAGAAACAAACCACCATATGACAAATTTTGTTTGTCTGTCATCAGACAAATAGTATTCAAGTACCAAGGAACAACACCTGCATTAGAAAACCACTCATTAAATCAACAACTATCCTTCTCGTCTGAGGCATGGTGATCACTTCCTAATAAAACTGCCTGCTACTGCTTTCAAGAAAATGGCTCAGAAGAGGTGTAATGTCTGTGCACATACAAAAAAGCGCCCAAAACAGTGCAGAGACACTCGTTTTATGTGTGAGGAGTGTAAAACACCACTGTGCATGACACCATGTTTCAGAGACTTCCACAGGCTGCAGAACTTCTAGAAACATGTCCTGTGGCTGTATATGTGTGTATATAAAATATAGAAAAATAGTAATAAACAACCTTTTAGATTGTTCGTTTGTGTAAACAAGTTTTGTAAACAATATAATGACAACAGTGTTTGTGCAGTTATTGTGTAGTATAGAAAGAGTAAAAATTTACAAAATAGTGCTCATATTGGTCTCACAGGCCATAAAAGTTACTTGATAAGAAAAAATCTTAAAATAGAAAAAAGTAGAAACAACAAAATAAACGATTACTGGGTGACTGGCAGTCAGTGATGTTGCCGTATGCGGTTCACTCTGTCAACTTCGCGCCTCCATATCTCGGTAAGTATTGATGGCAAAAAAAAATTTTTAGCCTATAAAAAAAAAAAAAAAAAAAATATCTTTTCAAAGAAAAAAATTTTTTTGGTTTTATCCCTTTCAGGGCTTCCAACGTACTAGTACATCTTACGCACCAGGGTTATTGTTGTACTAGTACGCGTAAATTCTAGAGCCTCCAAATATAGCAAGAGAAAGCTGGTAGGCATACATATGAAAGAATGGGTTTATGTGGTCAGCGCGCACAGTATAAAAAAAAAAAAATCCTGCAGCACACAGTAAGTAATGAGAAAAACAAAACTTTGACAGTGTTTTTGGTTTAAAACAGCAACTTTGCACTGCATTTTCGTATGGTATTTATGGTTGTATTCTAGTTTTCCTGGTCTCATTTTATAGAAATTGAGATGATTTTGATTGGTTTCATAATGAAAAGTACCTTGAAATTGAGTTCAAAGTAGCAGAAATGTTCGATTTTTACCAAAGTTCAAAAGTAAACAAATCATGCCATGTGTCCAATACACATCAACTGGTGATTCTAATATTCTTTCACAAGTGCGCTGATATTATTTATACCATTTCTACACTAATGCAGTAGCCTGCATAACAGAAAATCTTCTATTTTTTGTAAGAATAAAAATTGAAAGTGGAAAGCAAAAGTGGTGTAACAGGGGCATGGGGACATGACTAATGAACAGAGGAAATGTTATTTTAGTGCCAGGAATGTCTTTCTTGTTTATTCTGGACCCCATTTGGAAATTGGCACCTTCTGAAATTTGTGTGAAATTGGCAAAATTGCCAATTTCTGACCACTTTATTGGATAGTTGAAATCGGTAAATGGGTGGTTTCTTGTACTCATTCGATAGAAACTATGGAGTTATAGCGAAATAATTATGCTTTTTGTTGACTAGTACACTGGAATTGGCCGAAAATAGGGCTCAAAGTGGGCAAAATCGCCGATGAGTAAACATCGTCAAGACCGTTAACTTCGCGAGAGCATAATTCCGTAAGTTTTCCATCAAATTTCATGCTTTTGGTGTCATTATGGTCAGGAAAAGATTCCTTATCATTTTCCCTGAAAAAATATTTTTTTTTTTTCCAAAAAATTTTTGACCCTGAGAACAAGTTTAGGAGAGGGCCTCGCGACCCTGAAAGGGTTAAAGTGCCCTAGAGTGATAAAATGCATATTACCTTAAAATATTTTTAGTCTTAACCCTTTCACTGCTGAGACAACTACTCACAAACTTGCTCTCAGTGTCGAAGAATTTAACCTATAAACGGACCAAACATATACTATATACGTTCACTACCCCAGTGCCCCGAATATTTTGAATTTTTTTTTTTATGGAAATACAGAGCACATTTTTCTAAGTGTTATAGGATAAAAAAAAAATTAGGGCCAGTACTTTCAGAGATATGAGGCCGAG